AGAAAGCCTGCTTTCTGCATGAGCAAGATGTGCAGGTGCCCAACTTGATGTAGTTTATGGTGGTCCAAGTGACTGATCTGCTGTAGATTTAGTCTAGGGGACCATGAACTTGTACAGTAACATCAGCCACACAGTCCAGTTATCTCTCTAATGCCCTAGCTAATCTTAGTAGAGCTGCTCTTTAAAACTGGGTGGGAGGTGTCTGGAGTGGGTCAAATGGGAGTCCCACTGGAGACGGGATGCGGTTAGAGACAGAAAACCAGTTCCTATCAAGGTGGGTGGTGGAGGCTTTGAGACATGTAAAAGGCAACGAGACTGTGTACAGTGATGGAGCTAAAGTACTTTGCTGGGCAGAGCCTCAGTGACCTGCTAAGGACTGATCTGCAGGACAAACACAAGGACGTAAGAGTCGCAGGCAAGGTACAGCTGCCCTTAGCATAGGCACATACCCATATGAAGCTTCAGTAGTTTCAGTGCTGTTCCCAGCATTGTTGGCACTGGCATTGCCACAATTACACCGCTGTCTCTGCCTCTGTCCTCTCATGCCTTCTCTGAACTTGTCTGCTGCAGTGGGTGGTTTCACACCACTAACTTTTGGGGTCATGCGTCTCATGTATCTTGTCTGCGTGCATTTTACTGGATGTTGTAATAGCTTCCTGATAACTGGTTTCATTTAGGTTTGAAGCTTTTTTTAACTGAATATCCTCTTAATCTATTCTTTCCAGCCCTGGCAAAACAGCTGTGTAAATTGACACGAGCCAGGAAATAGCAGCTTCATAGCTAATAAGGTGGCCTCCTGGTGTTTCCTGCTGTGTTTTAGCAGGAGGTTGTCCATCTCAAGCCACTGTGCGGCTGCACCACTCCATTCCCTGTGTCCCTGCTTTTAAACCAACATCCACATGGGCGGCACTCCTGAACAATCAACCTGGTCTCGGCACACAGGGACTCTATAATCTTTGCAGCCTTTTCACATGATGTCAGTATTTTACAGAGGCCTGTCATGTCTTTTGCAACAGTTTACATAACTCTTGATAAATAGAGTTAGTGTCTGGGAGGAGTGATGGCTTATCTGCTGGGGAGCAGGCTTGTGAAAGGAAATACAGACAGCACAGTGCTCTTTTATCTAACAGCTACGAGGGCATCAGGAGCATCCTACCTGCAAACTGCAAGTATGTTGTCAGGTTACACCTTCTATGCAGAAAGCCCCATAAAGCTAGGGTATAGAGGAGGGTGGGAGAATGATTCTGTCCATGGGCAGAGGGTTGCTTGGAATCAATGCAGGTAGCATCTCTGCTGTGCTAATGCAGATGTTGTAGTCGGCCTGTGTATTTAAGGTTACAGCCAATGTCAAAGGAAGAATTTGGGCTGTGCTGTCTTGGCTGCAGCCACTGTGGACGTAACGCAGTTGTGTTCCTGGTGCTCGCTGGCTAAAAATCTGCATGTTGCAGTTTATTTCCCAAACCTATTTTGGGATATTTCATGTTGTTTTGTTTTTTCCCCATGACTGTCAGTATTTTGGAGGCTACTCTGCCGATTCTGGTCTCTGCACTTCGTACTTGGATACTGTTTTCCTCTGGATGCTCAAAGCTGATGTGATGGTTTTGTTTCTTCACCTTTCACCCCTGATCCACATACCCTGCTTAATAAAGGCAGAGCTGGTATCACTGCGTGGCAGTGCTACAGTCAGAAGGAGCATGCAGGGAAACGCAGTGTGGTCTGGCCAGAGGAATAAGAAGAACTCCTGCCAGCTTTCATCTGGAGGGTTGGAGTTTGATTTGCAGTGTTGTCTTCCTTTTGTTTCAGTCTCTTCACCAAAGCAGGAAACTGTTAGGGGATGCTGAGACTCTGTTTCCCTATTGTGAGTGATTTAGCTTTTGTAAAAAGGAAGAGAACAACTGAAGTTCCACAGAAATAAGAGCAGAATGAGAATTGCACTTCTGGTTTTAGTTCCCAGGTTTGCCACCAACTTACTGTCTCTGTCACTGTGAACTGCACTTAGAAATGATGCAGTTCTTTATATCTGAAATGCAGCTGTCAAAATCTGATGCTTGTAAGGTGTGATGCCCAAGTGTTTCTAAACACCATCCTGCTTCTTGCCACATGTGTGTGTGTGTGTGTGTGTGTACATATACATATATATATGGTAAGGCTTAGAATTTAACAGCCAGTTTGAAATGTGGGAGAGACTTCCAAAGCTAGTTAATACCAGTTGGCCTTGGCCTTGGGAAATCACTTCTGTTGGCTTTCATTCTTCCAGCCTAAATTACTCCATCACAAATTAATTTTGTTGACTGTACCTGTCTCGTTAATATTTGGCTCTCAATGTCTCAGTTTACACAGCTGTAATGAGTAATTATGAGTTTCCTATCTAGGTACAGTTCGGAAATGAGTACCACAGACATGATTTTGCATGCTTAGAGTGTTTTACTCTTCTTGGAGAGATTCCCCAAAATTCTGCTAAAACCTATGTTTGTGGGACCTCAGCTACAGCTGAGTTCCTTTAGGGACATGCTGGCGGTGGCAGCATGAAGTGGGGCTCCCATGGCAGGGGTTTTGCATGGATTAGTTTGTTGGTGTTTGCTGTGTGGCGTTGAAGTCTGGAGTCCTACCAGTGTGACTACACCAGCCTCAATAGATCACCTCCTGCAATAAAACCAGTCGTGTGTAGTGGGTGATAAATGTGGCTTTGTTGCATGAGTGCCTGGCAAGGCTGTCTGGGGCAATAGAATGTTGTCCCTATTCCTCCACCTGGGTTTGCCTCGCTTCAAAAATACCAACATAGGGGTTTCTAGCAGTTTCTGTCCCATCTGCTCAGCTCCATTGCCCTGGCTCCCATAGGGAGGGTTTCATAGGGTTGGGAACAGCAATGTCATTGTTAGATGTATGCTAAAGCAGCGCTCACCCAGCACTGCAGCCAAGGTCTCTGTAGTGGGGACAGGCTGTGCTCTGCCCCTGCACAAGAGGACATTGTTTCCCCTGGTGAATCACAGAGCTGTTTCATCCCAACGGGTACCTGTGGCCCACGTTCAGATGAAGTGGTGATCTCCATTTCCTCTGACCTCATCTTCACTTGGCTTTGGTGTGGGGAAAAAGTTACTGCTATTGAATTGCCTTCAGTCATAGGGTTTGATTTTTAGGTTTGGTGTTTTTTTTCCTTGCCTTGCTCATTTCTTGGCTCTTTAGTGGGGGAGGATTGCGGTGGTAGTATAAAATAAGAACTCACTGTATGAGATAAAGGCTGAATTTTCAGAAATCATTAAAACAGTCCAGTTTTGGAGGTCTGACTTGGACACTTCTCAGGGTCACACGTGGGAGTTTTTGCTTATGCAAAGCAGCAGAAGTGGGTTGTTTCCAGTTTTCCATTGTGTTGCCGATGGGGCTGTCTTTGTCCAGCAGTGCCCTGGTGTACCCTAACAGGGGCTAACTGCCCCCGGAAAAGAGCTGCTGTCAGAATACTTTAAAGTCGGTCAGACTGGCTCCTGCTTCGTGAGGTTTATCAGCAAAGATTTTCAGTGCCTCCAGAGGGAGGCTATTTTTGTTCTACCCAGGGGCTACCTTCTGCTCTGAGGTCTTTATCACTTCTTTTTTTTTTTGATAGAGAAACCTGCCTGTTTTAGGATAACCTTAAATATCTTCATCTTTCGCAGTGTGAAAAACAAGAGTCTTTTATCCAAGGTAAAAGTTTTTGGCATTTCTGTGGCATGTTCAAGATTTCTTTTGTGGGGGGGTTTCTTCCCCTTTTGTTCCTTCCCCTGTATAAGGGGGACACTGCTATAGACATAAGGACATGCTGAGTTTTCTCCCTTGAGCAGGGATGGCAGCAAGTGAGGTACGTAATGTTTCATCTTCATACTCTAATCAGTGCTATGACTGTTGCAGGCAATCCACGTTGTGTTTCATTGTGCTGTGTAACCAAGACTGGAAGAGCTCTCAGGAGATGACTTGGTTCATTTTCCTGCCCTAGAGCAAGATCAGTCATACCTATGTCTTTCCTGACAGATGCTGGTCTATGCTCTTTCAAAGACCTCTGTAACCTCTCAGGGCAGCATGTTCCAGTGCTTCACAATCCTTACCAGTAAAAGTCTGACTTCTCCCCACCTTGTATTCAACCTGAATCATCTCTGCTGCAGTTTAAACCTGCCACTTCTTGTCTTCTCCCTTTAAAATGCAAAGAAAGGTCATTCCTTTTTGCAGCAATAGTAAATATTTGAAGACTATTCATGTGCTCCTTTCAGTGTTAAATAACTGTTTTTTGTTAAATCTTCCCTTCTTCCTGGTGAATTTAAATCTTCTATGTAAACCTTAATTGGCCTCTCTTCTCAAAAATACCATGTGATGATGCCAGTCATTAACTAATCCCCAAACAGTTTAAACCCTTTGATCAGCATTTTATTTATATACTTCAATAGAAGCCTCCTGTGCTGGCCAAATTGCCTATTTCTGCATTACTGTCTCTGACTTAAAGACCTTGTGTGTGTGTGTGTGTGTGAGCCAGGTACCTGCAAGGTTTTCTGTTGCTTGCTAACTGCAGTTCATTCTAAGGGAACAAGAGAAAAGTTGGGTGCCCAGCATGATGCGAGGCTCGGTGTGGTTTGTGCCATGTGTTGGTTTTGTGGGACAGAATTTGCAACGTGAAGGCTGTGTTTGAATAGAAAGGAAGTGCAAAGAGAGGCTGACCAGTCGTGGGTTCGTGGGTGTCTGCAGGCATCCCAAATATACATTGATGTGTGCAGGAATTTGGAAGTGAACATGTGCTCAGACAGGTGGTAGGCCGTGAAATGTCACTTGGTATTAGGACCTTCTGATGTGGCTGTATTTGAATAGTCAGATCATGCTTGGAGGTCAGCTACTGCTGTAGTGTGATTTGGTTGTCCTTGATGTGTATGCTTTTGGCTCCAAGGAAAAGTCAAGGAAACTTATGATTTAGCAGGACATATGGGAAGGACAGAAAGCAGGTTGTGTTCCCTTTCAGTAATTTTCTCTGGATTTCTCTGTTGTAGGTGAGTGTTTTAACCACCTTGGAGCGGCGATTCAACCTTCAGAGTGCTGATGTGGGCGTCATTGCCAGCAGCTTCGAGATCGGCAACTTGGCCCTCATCCTCTTCGTGAGCTACTTCGGAGCCCGAGGACATCGGCCACGCTTGATAGGATGTGGAGGGATTGTCATGGCCTTGGGTGCCCTCCTCTCCGCGTTGCCTGAATTTCTGACCCACCAGTATGAATATGAATCGGGAGAAATACGCTGGGGGGCTGAAGGGAGGGATGTGTGTGCTGCCAACGGGTCCACCAGTGATGAGGGACCAGACCCGGACCTTATCTGCAGGAATAGGACTGCTACCAACATGATGTACTTGCTGCTTATTGGAGCACAGGTCCTCCTGGGCATTGGTGCTACCCCTGTCCAGCCCCTGGGAGTTTCCTACATTGATGACCATGTGAGGCGGAAAGATTCCTCCCTGTACATAGGTAAGTCTCTCTGGACTTCTTGCTGAAGGCTTTCTTTATGGGCTGGCATCTTGCTCTTGTTTTCTGTTTGATACCAGTGCAAGGGATACCTTGAGGCCTCTTCTCCATGTTCTAAGTTTGTGAAGGTAACGGCATGAGTCTCTACATGAAGCTGTTGTAAGCAGCAGAGAAACACAGTGATACTTGCTTGTATTGTAGCAATGGTAAAAATTGACAGCCATGATGATTATTACTGGATTATTAGAAAGATGCTCACTCCTATTGTGTTTGCCCAGATTGCTTTAAATTCTATTGTTGGTGGCTTATGGTTGAGTTTTAGCTGAAGAATTTCCAAGTGGCATATGTGAGGATGATTCTTTCCCCCCAACGTAACCTAGTTCCCTCCTGTTCAAAGCATTTGTCTCTGAGTAATCACTGCAGTATAAGGATACTGAGAAGAGACATGTCTTGTCACTATGACCATCACATTTTATCAAGGAAGTGCCTGTGATGGAGTAGGTGCTGTGACCCAGCCTGTGGCAGAACCCCACATAATGTGATCCCTGTAACGGAATGGGATGCGGAAGCTGGTGAGGTCTATTTTGAGATACAGTGAGCCTGAAGTAGAACTCATGATTCTGGTGATCACGTTGCAAAGTCCTTCCAGATGGTTAAGAGATGAAATTTAGCTTCAGTTACTCAATGAAACATCCCTGTTACTGAGTGAAGTGCTTTTAGGCTTCAGCAGTAGTACCCTCTCCAGCAGGTTTGAAGAGGATGTTGTGGTGAAGTTGTCCTTCAAAAAAAGCTTACCAGTTTGGTTCATTCTTCTTTCTGGAGGACTTGTCTCCATATAGGTGGCTCCCATGCAATAGATCAGTAAAGCGTGTGCTGCCATTAATGTGATCCTTCTGTGCTTGTTAGTAACCCAACTATGTTTCTAGTAACCAGAACTTGTCCCATCATCCCTGTCTTGATGTGGCTTTCAACTGAACGGATGATCCTATTGCTGGTTTTTCTTTATTCCAAAGATATTTTTATCAGGTTCCCAAGCCTAACTGAACACAGTTGGGGTATGACTATAGACAGCAAAAACGGACAGTCCCTCTGACTTTCTGAATGATGTTTGATGTCTTGGGGTAGCATAGAGGCCTGTTGGAAAGACAACTATATAACAACCTGTGGCATTCCTGGATCTATTATTACTTTGCTTAAAGAGATTCTTCTGCATATTCAAAGTGTGTCCATGTTTCCTGTAACTGACCATAAAATCGTAGTATTTCAGTGTTTAGCTTTCTCCCTGGATCATTATTCACCTTCACTTGGTTCTGTAAGCGCTTGTGAAGGTTCCACTGAATGAAGCAGGATGATAAATAAAATACAAGATACTGTACAACCCAAAGGTGAATGATGAGACTAAATTCACTGGAGTAACTTTGCCAACACCATAAATGATGAGCTGGAATTAAGAGTGATTCTAAGATTATCTGTTATAAATAGAGAAGCAGCAACTTCTTTCAGTCTGTTCCTGGGCAGTTTTTAAGCAATGCTTCATGTCTGAGAAGAGGATTGACGAGGATGCATGAGAGGAGGATTAGGAAGAGTGATTCTTTTTGCTCCTGAGATACATTCATCTTGTATGCTAAAATAACTTCTTTAAAGTTGGCAGTTCAACTGTAGCTGGGAAAGTGCTGCCAGAAAATGATTTCTGATTACTATATGCTTCATTATTTCTCCTTCAGACATATGCTTCTACCCATGTTCCTTTTACATGCAGAGTTAAAAAAAACCACCAAGCAATTATGGGGTGTTTGCTTTACTGGCTTTAGCTATGAAAATCATAATTTCTACATATGAATTCTGGGTTGCAGAAGAGTGCATGTGTAGCCGTACTCAACCAACCATCTCTACCAACAATGAAGTTCAATATCTGCCTTGTCCCAGCCTACCTGCACAAGTAGGTTTACAGATGTGGGCTGATTAATTCCTACATCAAACAGCAGTCAATTTGCCTAGTAAAAAATAAAAGGTAACAGGCAAAAAAACTAGAGGGGGAAAAAAAATCTATCCTGTGAATGAATCTAAATGGAAAAGAAGGTGGTGGAAATTACATATCTCCTCAGGTTTATGAGTACTTGAGAGGGAGGTGAGATTCCTCAGTTTAAAATATTGTTTGAGAATTACTTGTTCAGATTTGTCTTTAAGTGATTATTTTGGTTGATGTCATGAATGCAATTTTCCGTGGCCTTAGCAGAAAGCTGGCTGAGCAGCTTACCCACTTCATTCTTCTCTGTTTTGCAGAGGAAATAACTGCAGCGTGTATACTGTCACCGAGCTATATTTATATCAGTTTGCTTTCTCATAATAGCATGCTCACTCGGTAGGGGCTACACTGTGTAACCGGATAACATGTTTCTGGTGAAGTTCCCTCAGTTTAAATTGGGATCAAATCTGGCACAGGTTATTCTCTCAGAATAGGAACTAATTAGTAACAGTGGTAATAGTCTGGCTGAACTTTCTGTCATGGTGGGCTGTGGCCAGGATATGATCAGACTGACCAGTCGATGATGTCTGTAGTATATTGCTAACGTTGAGTATGTTACGTGGTGCATTCGGGCCGTATTGTAGCTGGAGGGCAAAAAGCAGTCCCTTACCTGACAGCCAAGTACTAGTAATTGTTCACCTGCTGCAATAAAAACCCTCTTGTGTCTCAAGGTAGAGAATTAGATACAAATAACTCTCTGCACTGAGACTTTTTTCCTTGCTTCCAAGTTTTACAAGAATTAAGTGGAGTAACTTATGCAGAGAAATTATAATATAGGAAAACTCCTCTAGTTTAAAACAAAACAGAACCAACAAAAAAAAACAACCCCAAATACACCTCCCCAAACCTTCTTTCAGTATTAGTACTGGTACATATGTGCAGAAGAGTGCAGATGTGATACCATATGGAATTTAAAGAGAAACTTTGATTTTAATTGCTAGTGCAAGTAATAGCATCTGTGGAATACAATATATTTCTGGCCATGAAATCCATCAACTCTGGGTTGTTGTGGTTTCTCTGCCATGACTGGCACACAGGAGATGGTGGGTAGTGCTCCTCTGTTGTGCATCCCTTGAAGGCAGAGGTTGCTCAGGCTTGTGCTCTACCAAGAAGGTGGGTATTCGTGGAGTTTCATAATTAGAAAGACAGGATGAGATATTACAGGAAGATATCTCTGTGGCATGGGCTGCTAACATGTAGCTTCATGTTTCTTGAACTAATTGCAGATTTTTTTGATGCCTGCAATGTGTTGCTACCAAACTCAGAATCTGTTGCTGTAGTAACCAGCCCTAGGAAAAAAGGCTGTGTTGTGGTAACCGAGGGCAAATCAAATCAAAGAGGTGCATGCATGGAAGTACGCACCAAAGGATGTTCAAAGGAAAGCACATAAGTGCTCTAACGGAGTTAGATAGCAGGACCATGCCTGCTCATGCTAATGATGGGAAATAGGTTCTTCTCCCGTTTTGGCATCCAAGTTTCTGCTCAACAGAAAAGTCGTAACGTTGGCAATAACAGCCAACAGATTAAAGCAATTTTCTTAGGTATTTGAAGTTGGGAAAACTTCTGTTTTGGTGCTGGTTTGTTTGCTTCTCTGTTTTGGTCAGCACATGTATTTAAGATCTGAACTCCCATCTACAGGTTTCCAAACAAGCAGGTTAATTTTATCTATGTATTTATTGGCATTTGGCATAAGTAACTCCTTTGAGTAGATGAATTCCTCTTTCTTGCAGACCATGCAGGGCTCTATTGCTATAGCTTCACTAATGCCAAAGGATTCCCTCAATTTGTGCCATCCTTTAAAGGAGGAAAAGCACGTTGAAGACTACTTACTACACAGTCCCTTTCTCTACCTGCTAATGACTCACTTGACATTTCCCTCTTTAGTTCATTTTTGCTAGGTCTTGCTGAGTTCTGCTGAAATCAATGAAGACTTTGTCATTAGGAGGAGAATCAGAGGCATCGCGAAGTTGATGGGGGGGGGAGGAACCTGATCTGGCAGTGCTGGTATGGATTTGCTGCCTCTCAAATGAGCAAGAGCAAGTGTTTTCTGGAGAACCCACATTGCTCTCACCAGTGGTTTCCGTGTTCAGTTAGAGCAAGTGCAGTGATGTTATTAGCAGTCTCCATACGTGCCTTCAGGGCTTCCTGCAGCATTTAACATTAACTGCTAAAAGTTTTTGCATCTTGTTTAGGCATGGTTGCCTATAGAGCAGAACGAATAGCTTCTGGGAGCCAGAACTTGATCTGGGACAATTAAGGGCTGCATTATGTAGGGGAAGTTGCTATTATTCTGTCTCCTGTTGATGGAGGTAATTGATATTGATGGTGGAGGGAGCCCTGCCAGATTGTGTGGCTCATTCAGAAGAACGCTGTGTTGATCCTTAACACATCGGAGACTCTCTCTTCAGTTTGCTGAAGTTGTCTCAGTGTTTTAGGCACATGCACCGCGTGTTCATGACCCACGACTTCAGACTCCTCATGGCTTGCAGAAACTGCTGTAATGTGAAGGATGACTTTAAAGAAATCCTAGAACGAGCAAGTCGAGTCAAGGAGTAAGTGATGAGCGCTCCCGAGTTATTGATGGTGCAAAGGTGTTCCTGAGCATAGTGTGCTCAGGGGCATAGAGCTGTTCTTGGCCTGCTTCATGGCAGGATGGAAGAACAGTGAAATACAAAACTCAGCACTGCTGGATGTGCCTGTTTAGCTGCTTCTATCTCATCTCCTGGGCTTCTGCCTGGCCTTTTCTGTGTGTATTTTGTTTTATGATATGGCTATTCCAGCTGTTAGCATAAGAGAACTCTGCAGGGTGGTGAGTTCTTTCCCCATCTGCCCAGATGGGACTAACTCAGTAATGGGGATGGGACACTGTATTGTCACTCCTGACTTTGACCTGTGCATCAGTGTGGGGCCATATTGCATGGAATGTGTGGAAACACTTTCTGTTTGGCTACGGTAGTCAGAGAAATGCTCACTGTCA